GTGGCTTTCCAGTGCCCAGTAGGCGCTGGTTCTTGGTCGTCTCCGGCATCGTTGTCCATACCGTCGATGTCTTCGGAGTCGAAGTCTAGCATGTCGATTAGATCGTCGATAGTGGCTACTAAGTGGGTGGTGGGTGGGCCTTGAATTTCTTCGTCGTCCGCATCCCAACCGTCCTGACCGCAGTCCGGCCAGGGCTCTCCTGATAACGAGAGGTACTTTAGCGAACTCAAGATGTCGCCGAAAGGTGCGTGTTGAAAGATGTCCGCAGCGGTGAACTCCATGATCGGCGCCCAATCGGATTCGATTGGAGGGGTCGCGGGAGGTTCGGAGTCCGGCGAGGAGTCCGGCACCTCGGAGCCACGAGCTTCACAAGGGACAAGGCCAGTAATCGGCTCCATTACCGTAGAGGTTGCAGCCCCCGAGGCAGTGTCTAGCCACCCGTCCTCGATCTGCGCAGCCGGCTCCGAATCGAGGGTCGGAGCGGGCTCGTGTGCGGGCTCCAGGGCACTGTCCGGCTACAGAGCTAAATCATGCTCATCGTGACAGTGCGGCGTGCTCGGCTGTGGCTCGAATCCATCGAAGATCAAGTCTCCGTGGATGTCAACCGTGAAGTTCAAACCTCCAAATCTGACCTGACGGCCAGGGGCGTAGCTTTCGATCTGCTCCAGATGGCCAAGCGAATTGGCCCGCAGTGCAAAGCCGCTGAATACGAAGATCTGTCCGGGGAGAAAAGTCTCACCCTGGACTGCGTCGTTGTTGATGATCGAAGAAGCCATCGAGCCTATTAGTGACGACACAGAGGAACTCTCAATGAAAGCACCAATGTCGGCGTCAAAACCGGCGGATCTCGGGTAGGGGGTCCCAAACTGTGCGTCTAGGCGGATGGTAACAGGAGACAAGGGACACGATGTTTTACCCAGGTTCGGGCCCTCTTGATGGAGGTAAAACCCTACGTCCTGCTTGATTGATATTGATGATGTGGGTATTACAAGAGTAGATCTACCACGAGATCAAGGAGGCTAAACCCTAGAAGCTAGCCTATGGTATGATTGTTGTTCGTCCTACGGACTAAAACCATCCAGTTTATATAGACACCGGAGAGGGCTAGGGTTACACAGAGTCGGTTACAATGGTAGGAGATCTACATATCCGTATCGCCAAGCTTGCCTTCCACGCCAAGGAAAGTCCCATCCGGACACGGGACGAAGTCTTCAAGCTTGTATCTTCATAATCTCCGGCCAATGATGATAGTTTGGCTATCCGGACACCCCCTAGTCCAGGACTCCCTTAGGCACCAATAGTGGAATCACGGCATCTCGCATTGTGTGAGGGCGTGAGGAGAATACAGTGGAGTGACTTCTTGGGGAGCATTGTGCCTCCACACCGCTCTAACGGAGACATACTTCCCCTTAAAAGGAAGGAACTTCGGTAACACATCCTCGTCTCCATCGGCTCCACTCTTGGTTATCTCATGCCTTTACTTGTGCAAGCTTTTTGTATTGTATCCCTTGCTTGCTTGTGCACTTATTGTTGTTGCATCATATAGGTTGTTCACCTAGTTGCATATTTAGACAACCTACTTTGATGCAAAGTTTAATTCGGTAAAAAAAAGCTAAAAATTGTTAGTTGCCTATTCAACCCCCCCTCTGGTCAACTATACCAATCCTTTCAGGTGTTCTATTGATTCACTTGATGTATGTTTTGGCACTCAACTCGCGGATTCCCGATGCGACATTGGGGTAATCTACGCATAGGGGTTGATGCATGTTTTCATCCTTGTTTCTACGGTAGAAATCTTGGGGCACTCTTTGAGGTTCTTTGTGTTGGATTGAATATTATGAATCTGAAGTTGTTTGGTGCATATCATATAATTGACCCATAGATACTTGTGGTGACATTGGAGTATCTATGTGACATTAGGGTTGATTGATATGTATCATATGGTGTTATTTTACTATGAACTCTAGGGTTGTTTGTGACACTTATAGGAATAACTCAATGGATTGATCGGAAAGAATAACTTTGAGGTGGTTTCGTACCCTACAAACAATTTTATCTTATATTCTCCATGATAGGAACTTTGGAGTGACTCTTTGTTGCACGTTGAGGGGTTGTTATAGATCTAATTATGTTATCATTGTTGAGAGAACTTGCACTGGTGAAAATATGAACTCTATGCCTTGTCTCCAAGCATTGCAATACCGTTTTCTCTCACTTTTACTACTAGTTACCTTGTTGTTTTTATATTTTTAGATTACAAAAACCTATATCTACCATCCATATTACACTTGTATCACCATCTCTTCGCCGAACTAGTGCATCTATACAATTTATCATTGTATTGAGCGTGTTGGGGACACAAGAGACTCTTTGTTATTTGGTTGCGGGGTTGTTTGAGAGAGACCATCTTCATCCTACACCTTCCACGAATTGATAAATCTTAGGTCATCCACTTAAGGGAAATTTGCCACTGTCCTACAAAACTCTGCGCTTGAAGGCCCAACATGAGTCTACAAGAAGAAGGTTGCGTAGTAGACATCACCCACCCCCGGCTCATCCCTATAGACGATGCAACCGACTCTGGTGCCTGCGAGCAGGGAGGTCACGCTGAAGAAGATGAGCACGGTGGCGTCACTTGGGAGCGGGCGAGCAGAAGATGAACAGAGGCCGATGAGTACTTGGAGACAGAGAGGCTGGGAGCGCGAGCTACGATTCCATGGCCATTGGAGCCGCCGCGAGATGCAGATCGGCGGAGTTTGCAGATGAGACGCCGTGGAGGCGCCCCGAGTAGGGAGGTCGCGTTGAAGAGAGATGGTCGCGGGTGCCGTTCGGTGGCGGCCCGACAGCTCGTAGTGGCGCGAGCAGAGCGGAGTCGTGACAGCGATACGCCCATGAATGACTATTGTGCGTGGTGGGTTGGGGGTAGGTGACGAGAGAAGAGAGTAGAAATGATTCGTTCCGGCGTATGTGTTTAGCAGCGAACGATCCTTAAGTTTGACGTGTCCTCCTCAACGACTTTAAGATCCGTGCAAAAAATCAAACGACAAAGGGCCAAATTGCTTCCTTGCACACGTGTGGCACTTAGAGCATCTTCAACCATGTACACCTAATTTGATTTCTCAAATGCCCGCGGACGCGTTTGGTCAGTGACCTAGTGTGTCCGTTTTGAGCCCCTATTTGTCTATCCCTGGAGCCACAATCCTTATTTTCTTTCTCATATGTCCGGTCACTTGCACGTGATTGATGATGATGAAAAGAAAGAAATAAAAAAATGAATAAAGAAAAAGAAAAGGTGGTCCGGGATGGGGTTGCGTCCTACGTGACGGAATGCCCGGGCGCGTCCGCGAGCTCTCATGTCCTCTCTATATTTAAGATTGATATGAGGGTTCGCGGACAGCCCAAGCATATAGGAATGATATGAGGAGTCCGGTTAGGTCACATTTTTCCTTCTCTTTTCTGTTCGATCACTGACCGGGCGCGTCCGCGGGCGTACGAGAGATTGTTTGAGGTGTCCAGCTGTAGATGCTCTTATCATTTAGGTTTGTTTTTTAAGTGAGCATCTTCTTCTGGTACAGTACAGTAGTACACTAATCATCTCTCACGCTCTAGTCCCTGCTTAATGTAAAACATCAACTTTGTAGTTATAATCAAATCCCAGCGAACTTAGGGTGGTCAATTTTGAACGGCAAAAAAAAAAGAGTAGTCAATTTTGAACCGAAAAAAAAAGAGTAGTCAAAAGTGAGAGCACCAGCAGCGAGAAATAAGAAGGAAAGATCGCGTCTGTCCCCAATCAGTTTCCCACTGCCGGCAGAAATGCAAGCACCAAATCGAAACAGCCCGCAGGAGGGGAGTCGAGGAGGAGTAGGGGGAGTCGGATCCATGGACCTGGCCACGAAACTGGGCGGGCTTCCGCCGTTCCGTCCAGACCGACGGGTTCCACATCGGAGGCGGGGAGCGGAGCGCCGGAGGAGCCGCGGCCTCGGCGCAGGAGGCTGCCCCTCTGGCTCCGGGCCGCATACGAGCGATTGCTTCCACTTCTAGCTAGGGTTTCAACCAACCTCCGAATCCGGCCGCCGCCGTCCAACATCGGCCGAGATGAGGACAGATTCAGCGCGCTCCCCGACGACGTCCTCCGAGGAATCCTGGAGCGCCTCGACCTGCGCGAGGTGGTCCGCGCCCGCGCAGTCTCCACGCGGTGGCGGCACCTCCCCCACCTGCTCCCGCGCCTGCATCTCGACGTCCGCCACTTCGTCGGAGACAATTCGGCGGTCTTGATCACTGGGAATTCTCCCGTGGCCGACGTCATGGAGGCGTTCACGGGTGCGCTGTGCAGTTTACTGTCTGCATGTCCTCCTCCGGCCCAGTGCAAGTGCGCTATCAAGACCCTCAGCCTCCGCTTCTTCCCTATGTCGGACCTGAGCTCCATAGGCCGCGCCGTCGAGGACGCTGTCGCCCGCGGTGAGATTGAATGCCTTGAATTTCACACGTGCTCGCCATACAGTTTACGGACTGGTTTCAACACTGAAGGGCTGCGTGCTGAGCTGGGGCAGCTGTTCATGTCCTTCTCCCGTGCCTGTCCAGTTACCTTCCGGTGGCTCACGATGCTTAAATTCAACGACCTTGTGTTTGGCCATTCTGACGTCACCGATCTCATTAGAGCTTGCGATAGGCTCAGACACCTCACCCTGAGTTCCTGCGGACTGGTTGATCGGCACTCTGTGCTCAAGATCGACACGCCACGCTCCGGGCTCCACGAGCTCTGCTTCATCGGCTTTCGTTGCAGATAGATCGAGTTGATCGATGTACCCAAACTTACAGAAGTGCGGTGCCAATCTTCGCGCTTCGAAAACCCTCGGGTGCGGTTCGGCTACGTTCCGGAGCTTCGCTGCTTGTTCCTCATTTCTCGTATCATAGGCTTTTCGGCGCCACTCGCACTGAGTGGGTGTCTACCATGGAGTTCCAGGAACTTCTCTAATTTGTATCTCGATTTTGGCAGCCAAATGGTGAGTTAATTTCGATGTGCCACATGAGTTTTTGTCTGCATCTGAATATCGTATGTGTTTCTTCTCCAGCAATTTCATCTGTCTATCTGTGTTCCTCTTCTTGTTGCAGATGTGGATTCAGATGGAACATCCGAAGCAGCTCACTTTTACATTCAGAAACCTGACCAATGTGGGGCTTTTTGGTATCTTTCCTGAGTGTGATCTGAGATGGACCATATTTATCCTTGAAGCTGCAGCTGCCCTGCAAAATTTCAGAGTTTGTCTGGTACTTAATCTTCTCTAAGTTTAATCCTCATTTCTAGTATGGCATGTTTCCAGAATATTCAACATTAACAATGTACCAGGAAATTGATCCGATTTTCAGTCACTCATCAAACTCTATTAGAAGTAACTAGAGGACCCGCTGTGCCAATGGCACAAAAAAACCACTATAGCTTGATGCAAAAACCCACTATAGCATAGAGGTATGTGCTAATTGTGTTTGAACTGGTAACCACAGGCTTAAATATCAGCAAGGAGAAGAGTTAAATGCTAAATTGATACATAACTGAGCTGAACAGCTAAAGCTCGAACTTAGCAGTAGTGGAGATTGGGGTGTTTTGGTCACCATTATTACACATAGATGAAACATAGCATCAATACATGGTATTTAAGGCTGGAAATGTGTATCAACTATAGCAGATGAACATGTAGTGATTGGACGATCTACATCCGGATGACCTGATCCTCATGATGTTCTTGGAAGTAATCCACAAGCCTCTGCTCGAAAGTCTCCCGTAACAGTACCGAGTTTCTCCCTTGCCCTTTGGATAGTTCTCAACCGCATCAACCAGGAGACTCACTTGAAGATCTGGCCTCATGAAGTCATAGCGTCATACAAAACAGTCTCTCTTTTTTTATCGCAATTGCACCAGATAACAAGTACTCCCTCCGTAAACTAATATAAGAGCGTTTAGAATACTAAACTAGTGATCCAAATGCTCTTATATTAGTTTACAGAGGGAGTACTTACTTTTTGCAAGGTGGCTGTAAGTAAACCTCAGATATACAGAAATATCGCAAAATATAAGGCATATCATAATTTCTGATGTCCTTGCCCAAGATGTTTACCTTCCCAACAAGTGTTAAATTTTGTTGGAAACATTGGGGGAACGTTGCCGTGGACCCTTTCGTTCCGAGTAGCTGAATAGAGCTTCCCACGCAGTTGAAGATGAGAACCATGCTATTATTTTATCTCATCTCAATAGCATCTAATTTTCATCCAATTAGAAAACTTTGTTTTAGTTATGGAGATGAGAACTCAGTTTGAAGCATATATACTTGGGCTGATAAATTCGTATACTCCTGGCTAATATTATATTTAGAATGGTCAGACAGAATATTTCGAACACTGTGATCAGATTGTAACGTTTCAATTTTTCAAGGAGATTAACCTTTACAAAGTTAAAAGGTTTCACACGAAAATTTAAAAAAAAAAGGGTTTCACACGAGATCTGCTGATAAGCAGTAACATATGAGCGATAAGTATATGCTGTGTTCCACTATTGAGTTTTAATCACAAGCAGTTTCAGCTACTATCAATTTCATATAATCATTTTCTCTTAGAATTATACAGGGTCTCAAGGAATATGCCCTGCTAATTAACATATGTAACCATTCTTACCTAGCACAGATTATGTTACTTCCGGTAGCTTGAAAGCTCTGAAAGCATAATCTGTTCTGTCTTGTACACGACTACTGTTTAAACCCTCCTGGTGCATTTGATTTCGAAGCCTTGCAATCGAAACTGAAAAAACACTCTGTACAGAAGTTATTCTTCCACCGAGTGACCTGAGCGAATAGACACCCGTCGCCAAGATCAAGGCCTCAATCCAAGCAACACGGTCATCTTTAGAAAATATGGAGTCCTCCACAAACGGAAGATGGCTCCACTCCCGCTCCGCTCGCCTAGCCTGACCCAGCCCCTCCACCAACCTCGCTGTCGTCGACTCCCCGCTGGTAGCCTCCTCCCTATCCCCTCCCCCTCCCCCTCCTATGGCGACACCCGGCTCGCACTCCCTCTCCGGCGACCGCGTATCCTCCGGGGATGGACGTTGGTTTGACTCGGATGGTGAGTCCTCCGCGCGCTCCTATAGCGAGGCCACCCGCTCACCGCCGGCTCCCCGGAGCGCGCGCCGCCTCCTGCGCCTGGTCCCGTGGCGGCGACCACGCGGCTGCCTGCCTCAGCCCGCATTGGTCCCCGCTCCGAGGTGCATCGCATCTTGTGGGGCGCCGTGGTGGATGCTGACGGGTTCCAGCATCCACATCGCAGGAACCGCTGCTGCCCCTGAAGCGCGCCTGCGCCGAGCATAACCCAGCAGCGCCCGCGCAGTCCATCCTCGGAGGAGGTCGTCGGACTCAGCTTCTGATGCCTGGACCACCGCCATCGCTTACGTGACTGCACCAATGATATCTGGTGCCGGCGCTGCCTCATCTCTGTCCACGACTCACGCGGTTGTGTCGATTTCCACCGGAGATCCGGCCGCTCCCAATTGTGCCAGTCCAGCCGGCCCTGGTGCTGCCCTTCCACATGTCACCACTCCTCCCCCGCTACCGCCTTCGCTGCTAGCTCTGGCTGCATAGGTGGCTGCCGCTGAACCAGCGCGGGTCATCATGGCGCACTTCATTGATATGGAAGAAGTCGAGAAGGTTCTCTCCCGCGCGCTGGTTGCTACCATCACGGGCAACACGCCGCAGGTCTCCGCCGGCCTCCAAGCTGTCGTGCTGAACGCTCGAGTTCGAGGAAGGTGGCTTCACCGTCGGCGCGCTGGTCGGTGGGGCCGTATACTATGATGATCTCTCATTTAAAGTTTAGGGCTCGCTCGAAAACCTCCATGCTGACGAAGAACTCGCCCCTGTCCATGCTACCCACCTCAAAGGTGGCATCCTTCACGCCTAAAAGGATGCCACCCGAATGGCCTCTAGTCCCACTAGAAGGGAGCCAATGCGAGGCAAACAGGTGGGAGCTCAACCGTTCGAGCTTCGAAAGGGTGAAGTCCAAACACATGGTTTCTTGAATGGCTACGATGTTGATCCTCTCATCGCGCATGTACTCAACAAGTTGGCGGCGCCGGTCATCTTGGCAGAAACCGCAGATGTTCTAGAAGAGTGTCTGCATCAAGGCCTCCATCGGGGGGCTGCTTGACCCTAGGACTAGGGAGGCACTTTGTGCACGCATGGCAGCAGTGCGAGAGAGGGTGCGGCCGCGGATCTCCACCACAGCCGTTGGGGCCGCGGTGTTTGGAGTCTCGATGGTGGCCGGAGCAGGGGTATCCGCCCTAAGAAGACGAGCGCGAGACTCCGCTAGCTTCCGATTGAGTATTTCGCGAGCGCGGATTGCCTCAATTTGAGCCAAGGGAGGGCCTACCTCCCCTCCGAACACAATCACCGAATCCGCTGCGACCTTAGCAAGGTGACCAAGCGGAGCCGGCTCGAAAGCCAAGAACGAACAATTCGAAGAACTGGCAGGGATCACTGGAGTACCTTTCTCGAGGTTCCGGGCTGCCACCCGGATCTCAGCCCCCTCGGGGATGGACGGAGCCAGACTGCCCACCGGCCTAGCCGAGCGCTGCGACGAGAAGTGGTCACTGGGGTAGAGGCAGACCGAACCCGCCTGGAGTAGGCTGCTGCGCGTGGAGGGTGGGGATGTGCGGCCACCTCCACAGACGCACCCGGCAGGGAGGCAGGCGCTATAGGGAGCAGGGGCCAGGCGAGGCACGTCGTGGAGCATAGCAGCGGTGACGGTGCGTGCTGAATCCGCATCGCGTGTCCGCTGAATCCGCTCACGGAAGACAGGATGACGGTGCCTGCGTAGCCCGCAGCCATGATCTGTTACTGCTCCACGTTGCCGCTTGCTTCCGTTCCTCATCCGGCCGCACCCGCTCGCCGTCCGTGCAACCGAACGATGTCCTTGCATCCGAACGGACCAGGAAGGCGTTGTCCGCCGCGTTGGTGCAAATCCAGCGCAGCCGCTGTTGCAATTCGAGACTACTGTGGTCAACCATGGTGAGGCGGCGCGACGCGACGCTGCGAGCGAAACAGACCAGGGCCATGGCCGTGCTTGTTTTAGGGTTTCGCGTTCGACAGGATCCTAGTACAGGCCCATTAAGCTAGCAGGCCCAACTGAATGTCAGATGCCCAAAAAAGCCACCGGAGCAGCGGCCCGAGATGCTAGCGCAGCCTGTACGCGCGATTTAGGTGGGACTAAGAGCAGATCGGACGGCCAAAACCTTAAAAAGTGATGATCCAACGGATAGAAATCCTAATGGCCTGAGAGGGCAGGAAAGATGCTCAGTTATAATGTATCTAAATTGATTCCCGGTCCCGGCTGCTGAGCTGAACTGCAGTGCCAGCCGTCTCCCTCAAGCAGGGCTCTTGATCCAGCCATTCAAGCATACTTTTACAGATATGTACTTGAAGCTATAATTGCTTATGATACTCAATGGCCTCGTCAAGCATATATGCCTTGTCAGTCTGTAACCCCGCAAAGGCACAAACCAATGGAAACACTAACCCGTAATTTTCTATCACGAACACGAACTCGAACTCAGCAGCCCAAATTCAGGGACAAGAAAGAAATAGAAAAAAGGGGATGACCTTGCTGTAACGCCTTCAGTTTTCACTTTGATCCTGCTCCTCTGCAGCTGTGCCCCAATGAATGGAAGAGGATTGGTAGTTAGGTTTTACTGCTTCGGTTGTCCTCGCAACCCATCCCACGTCCATCACCAGCCAATTGCTGACCAAGCATTGGGGCAACCCACTCACTGTCCCCTGGCCCTATAAGCGAACGGTCCCACCGGTCATCCAACCTTAGCCCGAGGTTGTGCGTGCAAAAGGGATGGACGGTTGTCCAGCCAACAGGGGTAAAAAGGCTAACAGTAAAAACAGGGGTAAAAAGGCTAACAGTAAAACCATCCAGTGGTGGAAAACGCCGCTCGTGCAGCAATTGCTCTAGATAGCCAGGTAGCACAGAGTTTTACAAGTAGAATGCAGACACGCCGCATTGTAATTGGATATGAGGAACACATTGTTGCATAGGAATGATGGTGCAGTTGAAATGGAAGTCGCGATGCTCCATTTGAATTTCGCACAGGGGCCCGTGATTTCATAGGAATCCTGGAAACATATTCAATTACTTTAATCCATGATTTATTTCATGCAGATCTTCCAAAAGCTCCACAGAGGCCTAAACTTGCTTAGATGCTAGTATTGAGCTCGTTGCTAAATTTTAAATGGGAAATATGTTTAACTGCCATTGTTCCTATGTTTTCCTGCATGTGCTGGTTGCGAGTTTAATTGTAACACGTATTGTTCATTTTCTATGTACATGCATGAAGTTGTCTCGAGAACGGCATTCGTGTGCCAAAATAGCAAAGGGCATTGCTGAGAAGACCAATTTGGTGTGGGAGCCATTGAAGGATTTGAAGCACCTGAACTTGAAGGTTCTCCAAATGTCCGGGTTCGAGGAGGAAGACAAGGTGACAAACTACATAAGGCTAGTCATGGAGCGAACTGTGGGGTTGAAGAGAATTGAGCTCCATGGAGAAGAGCCATGCGAGAAATGCGACGACATTGATGACATTGACCCGAGGAAGAGATCCCAGGTGGATGAAGCTCGCAGGCGTTGGATTAAGGAGCGACTCACACATGGGCCCTCCTCATCCGTGGAGATAATAATATGCTGATGGATCTGGTCAAGGAATGCAGCTGCCGGAGTGATGATTGTGTATGACTACTAGGTACTGATAGCCTGGTAATGCTTGATTGGTGTCGACCTAAACAGTGTACTGCAGTCTAGATGCATGCTTTTCTTTTTAGCATGCACTAGTACAAATGCCAGTGTCTTGCAACGGGCATAGAAACTCTAAAACCTGATCCATGTGCTATTATATACCATAGTTTATATTTAATTCTGATAAACATCTGTTATTATTGTTTTTCAGAGTATGAAGTTTGGACGTTAGAAAAGCTTTCTTAGCGTTCTTTATCTGATGAAAGAGTAGTGGTTCGTGGAATAATTTGTGGATCATTATTCTTTTTTGGAAAAACATGAATATTCATTTTTTTAACTGAATGTTTTATTAAAACTTGAATGTTTTTAAGGAGAACATTGTTTGGACTTTTTTTATTGGAAATTTTGGCCAGTTTCTAGAAAGTGTGAATATATATAGAACTTCGTACATTTTTTAACTATTTTTACTATGTTGATTTTTTTTAGACAGAGTTTATTGCTTGGTTGGGAAGATTCTAATTTATTTTTTCATTATTTAGGCTTGACCCACATAAAGCACTTCACGTACACACTTCACTTACAGAGAGAACACACACTCTCTTTACCTATATATAAAAAAGGGCACACAGACGAACTCATCTCCCTTCACCTGTTTCCCATTCTCAAGTGTCCCCCTGCCACATGGACCAATTGTCTAGATTTCTTTCCCTAATTGCTATTATATTCTTTGTTTTATTTTATTTTTGCATCATCATGTCATCATGCCATTAAAACGCAAATAAATAAATTGTTTAGAGCTTTGATCTATTTAAAATAAGGGAATACACCTGATGGTTCTCTTTATAACCCATGAACATATCCTCCCAATATTATTAGGGAGCTAGAATAAAACATCCCATTAATTTAGGAATCACTCATAAACACACTTGCAGTTGAATTTCCTTTTGATTCCAAATATTTTAAATCCATGTGATATTCTCCAAATAGTACTTTCAAGTTGTGGTGCTTTGATTTGCCAAATTCCAGCTTGATTTGAATTTATTTGACCCTTCAAGCTTCACCCGCCCCCTTCGAGCTTGTGCCAGATTCTCTTCTAGATTCCGCTAGATGAGTGGCAAACTCAACGTGCGTGCCAGCAGTAGAATCACCTGAAATCATTGTACTGTGAAGAATTAGATGCGTGGGGAATTGGGCACAGCCACAAGTGCCGCATAACTTAATTTGAAGAAAATTATTTTAGCTGAAGACTTTGAAATATGTTCCTTAAGATGAACTCACTGGGGAATTAACTGTACAATACAATTGTTGCGCAAATGCTTGTTTAAAAAAATTGTTGTGCAAATGAGGTATCAGAGAGTCAAGTGTGCTCAGTGAATAATTTCGAAAGAAAGGAATAGATCAAAAATGGGCAAGTGCTTTAGATCTCGCCTAAAAACAACAATTTGTCTAGGATTGACTTAAGAAAAGATCAAACGCGCGGTAAGAAAACAAAAGAAATTGACACCAGAAACGGTTAATGATTATAGACCGATATCTTTGTTAAACTGTGTGCTCAAGGTCATTACGAAGATTCTAGCAGAAAGGCTTCAAAGATGGATACTTAAAGTGGTACATGGCAATCAATATGGCTTTATTAAATCTCGGACAATACAAGATTGTCTAGGCTGGGCTTTCGAATACTTGCATCAATGCAAGCACTCTGGCAAGGAAATAGTCATTTTAAAACTTGACTTTGAAAAGGCTTTCGACACTATGGAACACTCGTTCATTTTAAACATGCTCAAGTGCAAGGGGTTTGATGACAGATGGTGCATGTGGATTAAAATGCTGCTTGACTTGGGATCTTCTTCA